TTTTTTTTTTTTTTTTTTTTTGGTACCAGGGATCGAACTCAGGTCCTTGCACTTGCAAAGCAGGCCACGGAACCACTGAGCTAAATCCCCAGCCTCTCCCTGCTTGATTCACAGAACATATGTCCTCCACAGAACATAAGCTCAGTGAAAAGGAGCCTTCATCTAATTTTTTCCTCCTGTTTTGGTAGTGGCCAGCAGATAGAAGGAATTTAACCACAACCTAGTTTAAAACCTTAAAGTTCTTATCCAAATATGTGTTTATTTCTAAAGCAGAGAAAGAATAGCTCACCGGTAATCCTGATTAGCAACTCTGCTGTGACTCTGCGCTGAGACAATGCCCATCGCGCCACCGCCACCGGTGTTTTAGATATGTGGGAGAGAAGGGAGACTGTGCAGAATGTGGTGTATTAGCAACTAGTCTGAGGGACTATACTTTACCTTCACAGCTCACAGTAAGTCATCTAACTGCTGCTCTCATCAATGGAAGGAGGGAAGTCACAAAATTTCCTTTTGCCAAAGGAAATAGCTATGACAAGGCTGGGATCATAAGGTGCAATTTTATAACCTTATACTATAGATACTTAATTGGTAACATACTTGGATTCTAATAATAATTCTGAGAATTAGATTCAAGCCAAAAACTGAAACCGTGGGCTGATATTTATTTTGCAATAACCAAACTCATGGCTGATAAGTAGCAGAGACCTAATTCAAATGTAAGTCTGTCCCCTTACACTACCCTAGTATGAAGACCACCTTATACACCACCCTGACTGGGCAGCCACGGGCTCCACCCTGACCCCCATTCAGCATCCAATACTGTCCTCCTCTACCTTAGTTCTCTCTCATTCAAACCTGCTCCTCCCCAAAAACACTCTCCAATCTGTCCCTAAGTACAGCTGCTCAATTCAGTCTTTGGGTTTTTCATGCCTTATAAGGTAAAAGAATGAACTAGGAATTGTCAGAATTCAGTAAGTGGGGTATATGCCAGCAAGAACCATCGAATAAACTACAATTTCAATGGACTAGACTGTCAGTAACTGATATAGAATGAAAATAAACACCTATCACAAAATATGAAGAACTGAGAAAACTCTCTCTAAAGAAGAAACTTCAAAAATCAGCAATTAAAAAACAATGATTTTAACCATTTGCAAAAATTCCCCCTGACAACAATGCTTAAGTATAGGATATGCACACATATGCACAGGCTCTCAAGAGATACGAGACAGTCACAGGCAAACCTTAGTCCGGTAACTGCTGCTTATCCTAGAGATTTCTTCTTCCTTTGCTAGTACTGGGAATTGAACCAGGGCCTTGTACACACTAGGCAAGCACTCTACCACTCAGCTGCAGTTCCCTCCCTAAGCCTCCTCAGATCTCAGATTTTACTTTGAAAAAACATTCCTTTGGTGATACTAGGAATGCAAGAACATCCTATCACTGAACTACATCCACAGCCCTTTTCTTTTCTTTTCTGAGACAGGATCTCACTGTGCAGTCCAGCCTGCCCTTGAACTTGCTATGTAGCCTAGGCTGGCCTTGAACTCAAGGTGATCCTCCTGCCTCAGACTCCCTAGTGCTAGGATTACAGCTGAGAACACCAAGCCCTGCTCCTTTTTTATTTTTAGAGTCTTACAAAGTTGCTCAAAGGGCCTTGAACTTGTGACCCTCCTATTTCCAGCCCCCAGAGGAATTGGGTTTCAGGCCTATACCAACACACCCAGTTTAAAATTTTAAGGCAATTAAATTTGTTAAATATATCATAACCTGTCCAAATGAAGAATGTTTTAACACAAATATTTGGTGTGATATATGGGACTCTGGAACAGTATGCAAAGCACAGTAATTTTTCTATACTTATCCAACACTTTCCTCAGAGACGTCATTTTTAGATGATAAAAAATACACTGGAAATGTGCACGGGCAGTTTTTTGTTTTGTTTTCTTTTTGTACCAGGGATTGAACTCGGGTCCTTGCACCTGCGAGGCAGGCGGCGGAACCACTGGGCTAAATCCCCAGCCCACACAGCTGTTTTATTGAAGCAAAGACTATAAATTCCTCAAGGTTTATGTGGGATGTCTGAGAAGAATACATCTTTTACAGCCATCCAAGTTTCAGTGCTCTATCCTGTTCAGCAATCATTGTAACCACTAATTCAAGGTCCCAGGTGTTTGACCTTTTGAGGAATATCTAGGTATCGATCCTGAACATGCTGGACTCATAATTCCACTCTAAGAAGCTGCCATTCCGACTTCTCCTCAATCTCAACGAGGGCTGTGATGGGTCAAACCTGAAACAGTCAGCCCTCACTACTCAGAGAAGGCCCAGGTTGTAGCCAGGGCTAACTCTCAGGGTGTGTCCTTCATGAGGCCCTGCTCTAATCCTCCTAGTACTGTGGTTATCACATCCTTTTAGAATCCTGAAATCATGGGGCATTTAGAATCCTGCATCATCCTGGGGCATCTGTACTCGTGCTTCCAATGTGCAGCCAAGGCTGACTATATACTAATCCCTCATCAAATTTCAGAGATATATGCACACGAGTGTTGGCTCCATACTCTGTAAATCTCTGTAAGACAATGTGTAAAATTTGTACAAAACACAATACAAATCATTCTCCACTATAATTTTGAGGAAACATGTATATCTGCCTCAGAACCACACTATCTGATTTCCTCAAAGCTTAAGAGAATTGTTTCCAGCAACTTTTTCAGTGATACTTTTATAAATTATGAAAATTAATTTTCTATCAAACATCCATTACAAAAATTATAAAATGTAAAGCATATTAATAAAGTTTCTGACACCTTGAATGCAAGAATATGAAGATTTATACTCTAAAGAGCAACAGCACAGTGAATTTTCAGGTATATTTAAGAATACAATTTAATAACTGCTTCAGTTAGGAAATTATTGCAAATAGAAAATACCTTAAATTTAATAAAATTGTGAGGATAATGTTCAATTCCACATGACTGTTTAAAAACATGCAATTTACTGATATCTGTAAAGCAAAAATTCTAAAAATAATTCAAGAGTAACCAAAGTTTCAAAGGATATCCTACTATGTTGATTTAAGTCTAAAAGCTTATTTGTTGTATTCACAACACAAAATGAAGTGAAAACAGTATATTAATTTTAATTAGAGAAGAATCCATAGGCAGTATAAGCATTTTGTAAATTTTAATAGTAGGACATATCCTAAGAATTTAGGAATAGTATAAGCATTTTAAGATGCTTCAAGGCAGTGGTAAAGTTTTCAACTTTTTTTAGGAAAAAATGTAAAATATACATTGTTTCATCTCCTTACTGTGTGTGTGTGTGTGTGTGTGTGTGTGTGTGTGTGTCTGTGTGTGTGTGTGTGTGTGTGTGTATGTATTACTGGGGATTGAACTCAGGCCCCTGTGCTTGCAAGGCAGACAGCAGAACCACAAAGCCAAATCCCCCGCCCCTCATCTCCTTATTTTAAACTATGGCTACATCATTAATAAAAATGGAGGAGAAAAATGGGCAATTCAACTTTATAATGTACAAGTGTATCCAAAAAGTCATATAATGATGTTGAGGTAAAGATAAATAGTCCATGCCTGAGTTCAATTCCCAGTACTGCCAAAAAAAGAAAAAGAAAAGAAAAGAAAAACAAATAGTTATCAAACAAAAAAGCCTTTGGAGTATCTGTTTTTGAAGGCTACTTTGTAACTATGTTACTGGATATGGTTAACAGCCTAAGAAATGCTACTTTCTGTTATAACTTCCACAAAATTGAGAAAATGTAACAAAGGGTACAACTTTGAGCAACATGGAAGAGATTAAAAAGGAAAACAGCACAAAATACTGGTATGAATCTACCAAACAGAAATTACTGTGCCGGGGACGTAGCTCAGTGACACCAGACCTGCCCGGCAAGCACAAGGTCTTGGGTTTAATGCCTGGTACTGGAGGGAAGATAAAAAAAGAAAATAACCTATTGCCATGCTTTTCATCATCTACAACAAATGTAAAATTTGTAACAATAAAATTTTATTTCCCAGGCAGGGGATTTAGCTCAGTGATTCCAACGCCTGCCTCACAAGCAAAAAGGGCCTGAGTTGAATCCCTGGTACCAAAAAAAAGAAAAAAAAAATTACTACAGATGTCAATTCTGTTGAGCCATCTGGCAAAAAATTTTTTTAAAAAACTATTGGTTTTATACAGATTTTATGTTCAAAGATAATTTATTTAAGATTACCAAATGGAATTAGATTTCAGAATTTATGACCTATGTCCACTATAAAAGTGATCTTTTAGCCGGGGATTTAGGTCAGCAGTTATGCCACCTGCCTCCAAAGCACAAGGTTCTGAGTTTGATCCCCAGTACCAAAAAAAAAAACAAAAAAACAAAAAAAGTGGTCTTTTATAAAAAGTTTTTTTTTGTTGTTTTTTTGCTGGGCATGGTGACACACGCCTGTAATCCCAGCACTCGGGAGGCTGAGGCAGGAGGATCGCTGTGAGTTCAAGACCAGCCTGGGCTACCATAGTGCATTCCAGGTCAGTCTGAACTACATAGTGAGACCCTGTCTCAAAAAACCAAAAAAAAAAAAAAAAGTATCCTTATCTCATTCTGCTTCAGAAAGATCTATGCATTCATAGACAAATGCTTGTTAATACCAAGTCTACTGATGGAGGTAACTTAATTTATGAGACAGAACTTGTAAAAGAACCTTGTTAGACAATCTTGTTAACTATTTCTCGTAATAAAATGTTGCAGGGCCAGGGGTTTGGCTCAGTGGTTCTGCTCCCTGCCTTGAAAGCGCAAGGGCCCTAGTTCGATCCCCCATACTAAAAAACAAAAAAAAAACTTGTAAAGCAGAAATGTTTTCAAGACAATCCTGGTACTTCTCCAACTCTTGAGTAGTAATTTTTCAAGATTTCTATTCCCATACTTCCTCCTGTAGCTAACCAGAAAAAAAGACGGAATACACCAGGGGGTGGGGGTCAGGAGCTGTGACTCTAAAATACCATATCATCAGTTATAGTCTAGATGTAAAGTGTCCCCCAAAACTCTCATGTGTTCAGAGAAGGGGATTCACCCATCCTATTGAAAGAAACTCAGAATGTAGGGGACAGCTGCAGGCAGCTGGTCATGAAGGTGTGATCTTTGGGACTGTTACCTTGTCCCTGGCACCTTACTCTGGCTCTCTCACTCTGCTTGCTGGCTGAGGGCGTGGCACTTCTCCACCACACCCTTCTACCACGATTTTTCCTCCTGGAAGCCAGCCAACCATGGACTGAAACCGTAAACCAGCCAAAATCTTTCCTCCTCTATGTTGTTTTTCTCAGTTATTTGGTTACAAAGGCTGACAAAGGCTGACATAAATACAAGGTGATACACCGTAAGGAAAAAATTAATCTTAAGATGAACTTTAAATATTCAAATGAGAAGGGGAACAGGTAGGGGAAATTGGGAAAGGGAAGGAGGAAGAGAGAGAGGGGAAAAAAGATAATAGAAGGAAAAAATGGAAATAAAGCTTTTGTAAATGAGGGGAAAAGGGGCCGAAGAGAGGGGAGAGGAATGGGAAAAAAAAGGCCAACTGAGGATGTAGTTCAGTGGCACCACACCTGCCTAGCAAGCACAAAGTCCCGAGGTCAATCCAGTACTGCAAAAAAAAGAAGAATCAGATTCATCATCTACAGGTACAAACTCCCTATGATGAATGTGATCATTATGTATATCTAACATGCACCAATAAAAAAAGATGAACTCTAATAAAGTAGATAAAGGCCTAAGAAACATTAAGTCTAGATTCTATAGTAATGTAGTACAAGCTCCTTGTTCTTAAAACAAAGCAACGAATTGGTCCAATATACGTAAATTAGTGCTGTTCTGAATATTTTTATTGTGTTACAAATTATTTCCTAACCTTTTTCATTTCTTCCACATACGCAATCATGGCTTCTTCTTTAGTCATATCACCCAGTGAGCTCCAAGCATCCCTAGAAATGAAAATATATGCATGACAAAAGATACTTGACTCTCAGTCGTGCAGACACAGTGTGTAGCTGACACAACAGGAACATTAACTTAAAAGAAGTTCTACAAAAACACTATGCTGTAGTTTCAAAGAATCTCTTTAATAATAAATGTGTCTCCTTGAAGAAAATTTTGTGTTCAGTGGCTTTTAAAATGTTTCACCAACTGGCATACTTTATTGAAAAATAGTCTAAATTAACTTTTGTCAGACATTGGAAAAGCCTGCAATAGTATTTAAAAATATAAAATATTAGTGAATTGGGAAAATGGTAGAAATATCTTAGTAGTTTATGATTCTTTTAAGTATATTAAAAATCAAATTTCAGGCCAGGGATTTAGCTCAGTAGCACCACGCCTGCCTCACAAGTGCAAGGTTCTGAGTTTGATCCCTGGTACCAAAAAAGAAATCAAATTTCTATTTAAGTTCAGTAGGTCAGAAGTGACAGCACAGATAAAAAATTAATGTGGCAATACTTGAGTCATACTCATATATTATCTTAAAAGCCCAAAGCAAATAATATCACCTGACAGACAGAAGTCCTATTTTTCTTGGCAGCTAAAACAGGTAGGGGAGTTTGTTTGTTCTTTTCTTCAGTTTCCTTAGTTTAGACATAAAAAAGAAAACAAGCCAGGCCTGTAATCCCAGCACTCAGGAGGCTGAGGCAGGACTGCCATGAGTTCCAGGCCAGCCTCGGCTTATATTTTTCATGTACTACCCTTCTTGGTCTTACTGTTTTCCTGTCTTCCTCAAGGTTTTTCTATTTGTGTAAGAATTTAGTAAGGGCCCCCTAAAGGATACAAATTGCATCCAGTAGCTAGAATGCTGTATGTACAGAACAATATATGACAACATACGTAACAGCTGTATGATAATTATGTCATTAACATTCTTTCTTAGCTCTATAAATAAAGTTACCATTTATATCTTCCAATAGGATCCCAGAATCCTGGCCTTGAGAGTTTACAGGGTCCTTCGGTTGCCTGTTTATAGAAGCTATAGAACTTGAGCATCATTTCATGTGTTGGCTGGAATGAACCTATTGGAAACAGCCATTAAATTCAGAGCACTTAGGGAATACAACCAATAACTTCAGGCTAGATATTAGCATAACCGTAAAGTACTAGTAGTGATTTTGTATTTTATTAATGATTCAGATAATTTGTTTCTACACTAGAAACAAAAGTTATGATAGCTATATTAGTTCCTTTGCTCTACTTTCAAAAATCTCTGAAAATTTAAACTTTTACAACAATGCCAAAAATAGTTCATTACATAAACAAGCTATAGGTGTAGTGAAAATAACCATTGAATGTCACATAAAAACGTTAAAATACAGAATATTATCGTGCAAGTATAGATATACCAATCAAAACTGACTAGCACATATATGAGAAAGTCACATGTACACTCTCTTTTATAAAACTGCTACAGTAAAACTTCAACTGGACAAATTTTAATTTCCCAATTGATATAAGGAACTTTTTCTAAAGCCAACTAGTATATACCCTGATAGAAAAAGAATTAGACCAACATAAAATAGATTTCTCAATTTCCACCTCTATAAGCTTGGAGTCATCAATTTCTTGAAGATTAAATATTCACATATGTTCTAACATATCTATAATCTTTTATACGTATGTTTAAAATAGTCAAACTACATAAGCAAGCACTATACATTGCATTTTGGGGGGGTGTACCGGTGATCGAACTCAGGTTCTTGCGCTTGCAAGGCAGGCATCAGAACCACTGAGCTAAATCCCCAGCCCATGCTGCAATATTTTTAGTAAAAGCCAAAAAAATGCTAATGTTTTATAATAAATGACTAATTACAATATACTCATATGAAATAATTTATAAATATGGCCCTGTATTGTAGAAAAATATTTTTAAATGGCATGAAAACAATCCTTGCCCTCAGCGAGTCTGAGGCAGGATGATATCAAGTCTGAGCCCAGCTTACACAGCTTACGGATTTAGCAAGATCCTGTCTCAAAAAAAAACTTTTTAAAAGAGGTGGGATATAACTCAGTGCAAAAACCCTATGTTCAATCCCCAATACCAAACAAAAACAAAAACCAGCATATATGATATCTTTTTTTATAAGTTTCATAATACACAAAAAGAAGGATATACATAAAATATTTAAAAGGGATATCTCTGGATGTGGATTATTTGATGTACTTTTTCATTTACCTGTTTAAAAAATTTTTTAATATGTATTACTTTTAAACAAAAACTGTAAAAATAAAAAAGTGACTTTAAATACTTCATAGCATAAAATGATAACATGTAGTAATTAAAAACTACTAATTTACAAGAGCTGTGGAAATTATTAGATACGCTGAGAACTTGTATTTCAAGTTTGGCCAAGAGCACATAACTAATTTTGAAATCACAATAATAACTACCTATATAATATATGCATACTTTAAAGTATCTATGAGATATACTATTTCAATGGTACAGTTTTTTTTATACAGCAGAGGGAAAAGTGGAGAAACCATAGCTAATAATTGTCACTGATAAATAACACAAAAATCACATCTTACCTACCAAATTACCTTCAGTAAGCCAACTAAGTAAGATTTAGGTTTATTTACTTAGTTGAGTGATATATGTAATACATAAAAACAAAAAACATTTATCGTATGTCTTCTGTAAGAATTAAAGTATGATTTCTGTCTTCCAAGTACCAATACGGTTTTAATATAACATATGCATTTAAAATACTAAGAATTTTCATAGTCATATCAAGCACAGTCACTACAGAATTCATTATGACTTCAGGCCTTAGACAAAAGATTAAGCAATAAAAAACAAAACAACACAATTTTGTTCACGGCAAAATGGTTCAAAGTAGAAAAAACCTTAAGAGTATTACAAAACATTCACTAATTCATTCTAACAAACTCGAGGTTCAGGAAATATGGATTTAGTTTCAGGGAGCAAGAGTACATATTGCCTTTTATTCCTGCGGTCAGACCCAGGTCCTCCGCATGCTAAGTGCGACCTTTGCCCTGAGCTATGGCCAGCTGCTGACAAGTTATCATGATTTTGCGATACCTTCTGAAAGTCACAGGAGTTTCTTGCTAAGTAATGTTAAAAGAGATACTAAGCTGGAGACATCAAATCTAGCTTTTCCTATTTTCAAAAAACTATAAAAATGCATTGTTTAGGAAAGTGTCTTATATAAAACTCAGAATTATACCTTTGTTTATATTTTGTTTATTCTTACTTTCCATCCTTCATATGTCCTCCTACAATGGGATGTTTGAAACTATAGAAAGAACAGTATTATGTGTTATTTTCAAAACTTGTGGGAGGCTGCTGGGGACTGAACTCAAGGTTTCGTGCACGCTAAGGACAAGCTCTATTACTGCTTTGAAAACTTTGTGAATCTGCACTTTCTGAGTTTTTATTGAGAGAATTTTTGAATATTCATTCCTTAGCCAAGTGATAATCTAAAACGTGATATCCAAGAACAAAATATTAAATACTACAATAATATATCAATGTTGTATCCAGTTAGCACAATAACAGAGCTTAAAAATATTTTTTAAATATAGTTTAAATTTAGAGCAACTTTAAGGCCTGTTAATACGTAGAATATTTTAAAAACAAAAAGAAATTGACTCAGTACTATTTTTTTCACTTTCAAAATATAAAGAACAAAATAAAGACAAACATTGCAAGTTTTAAAAAAATAAATAAAATATAGTTTATTAGGAAGATTAATGCACGTAATGTAGAAGAACATGAATTGTAAAATAAGTCTCCTTCCTCACGTTTCTCCACTTAGAAAATACAGACATATATTTAAATAGCCGAAAATTTCGCAACACTGATTAAAGACAAAATTACAATGCAAAAAGCTCGGCAAACTGTGAAAAGGTTAAATAAGAAGAAAACCACACCTAGACTCACCACAGTTAAATCACTCAAGCCCAAAAGGAAAAATCTTGAAAACATCCAGAGAAATAATATATTATATACAAGACAACTCCTCTTGGTCTTTCTCCCAACCTCCAGTCAATGTCCAATGAGTATAAAAGAGTACAATAACAGCAAAACGTGACAAACATATTTATTAAAATAAAAAGAAATAGTTTTACAGACATAACTATAGATATGTCAAATCTATCTATCTATCTATCTATCTATCTATCTATATGTCTGTTCTTTTCCCTTCCTTCGTATCAAGAGTTCAAAAGATGTGAATACTAGGCATCCCTGGCTCAGATTTTTCTCAATAACACCCAAGTCCGCAGTCTCTGGGAAGACTTTGGCTTTCAATATAACATTCTGAACCACTTAAAATCCGGATGAAACGTCCATCTCTGGCTTGAAAGATCAGCAACTAACTCGGTCTCGTCCGGCGCCTCCCTTCCATCGCCGTCCTCCGCACTGAAAAGGGCAGGGTGGGCAGGCCGGACGGGCCGGGCCGCGCACCTACCGTTCTTGGGCAGGCTCTGGATCACCTCGACGGCCGCCTCGAAGCGGGCCTCGTGCACGGACTTCTGGCCCGCC